CAATAATCTCAAACCGACATTCAATTATGCGAAAAGTTATATATCAATAAACGTTCACAATGGACATTATCAATTCAACACGTCGAGCATCAGAATAATATTAAGCATCGCAAACAAACTGAAACGAAAACAAATATAATCTGAATACAAGAAACTTAACCAAATATCCAACATTCGGGCTCACCAACTAGTCGAGAGCTGATGAGGAGATCAATGGAGGTCAATCTCGATCTCGCCTACACCGTAACAAACAAAGGGAACTCAGCCGCTCATGTGGTGATGACGGAGGATGAAACAGTGGAAACGAAGCTGATCATGGCGAAGAGGAGGTAACCGACAGCGATATGATGCGAAGAAGGGGCGAAAACAACCAACGGACAGCCCGGAATACGAACAACCGCACTTCGTCGGAAAACGTTAATTTTCCGGTGGGTCTTCCGAAAAACGGTGGCGGAATGGGATCCGAAAGTACCGATGGAAAGCTCTGGTGATGGGCAGTTCAGATCAGGTCTTGGGAGGTGAGAAGTCACCGAAAATGAGCAGGAACTGGGTTGGAAGATGAGAGGCGCGGAGGCAAAATCACGGATTCGGCGGTTTTCGCGGCGGCTAAAGCTTGGAATGGGTAGACGGTCGTGGGGAAGGGAGATCGACTCTTGGGGAGCTGAAACATCAACGGAAAACGCGAAATCTCGCCTGGAAGATGAAAAGTGCGGTGGTGGAAGGCGAAGCGTCGGCGTGTTGTGATGGTTTCCACGATGGTTTGCGGTGGCTGATGGCGGATCGGTGCAGGGGAGATGGATCATCGCCAGAGGGAGACGAAGGGTCACTGGAACTCGTCGAAAAACTGGGTGAATAGCCACCTTGTACGCGACTTTTCATCTTCTTTTTATAGAACAAAATGTAAAATATCACTTTGGTCCCTGCATGTTTGAAAGTGACAAAATCCACCCCAAGTTATGACAATTTGACCCCTAAATGGTAGCCTGGCAAAATGGGTGGGTGGGCTGGGTACGGGCGGGTCAACGGGTACGGGTCAAACGGGTACGGGTCCAATATTTTGGACCCATGCCCTACCCTATACGGGTACGGGTGGACCCGCGGGTGGACCCATTTTTTCTCTCTCCAGATTTGAGATTTTCTTTCACCCTTAACAGTTTTCAATTATGACAATTACACCCCCAAAATTCCTGCAGTTTTAAATTTACATTTACACCCCCCCAATCAACTGCTCTAAATTCAATTCAATTAAGAATATAAACAATATGAACCAAAAAAACAAAAACACATAAACAAACAATAACATATAAACAAAACTACAAATACCAACCAAATTAAATAAATACAAAATCACTAATACACAATTACAATAAACAAACAAAAAAGCAATAAACTATAAATCCAATTAAAATAAACAAATACATAACAATATTCAACAAAAAATATTCTTAGGACAGCAAATGTTCATCCCACAGTGGGCGTGTAGAGTCTCTTGATTCCACAGTTCGGATCACAATGGCACATCAAGATCATCATCCGAATCATCTTTCACCCATCATCTACAAAACAATGATCAACTACAAATATGTTACCTTCAAACTCATATCCAGTATTTAATCACTCATTAGAGGACACTTAATTAGGGTACTGTGGTCTGTAGCAATGATAAACTATGCTGAAACGTTTACGATACTTGTTCTGTGGACACCATTGTGCTCATATTTGGCTGTTTTCACGAGGAAGAAGAACAAACTGGACCATCCAATGTAACTTTTAGATAATCATCTTTAATTCATTATGTAATTAAAAGGGCAGCACAAGGTTTTAGTAAATTGGTCTTATCGTTCTGGTTTCAGTGAATTAATTTTACATTAATTTACCAATTAATTCATTAATTTTTTTAGTCCTGTCTCCATACAACTTTGCTATCGGTATCTACAAATATTAACGAACTAACTTACATATAAGATAAACAATCGATCAAAAAACTATTAATCTGATGAGATAGAAGAAAGCAATACAGGACAATGACAAATGAATATAGCCTGTCACTATTAGCTGTAGCACGTTGTTGTGTTTCTAACATAATTAACCAACGACTCAACTGATCATTAACTCTAAAAAATTCAGTACTAAACACTAAAGTAATCAATAAAATAATGCTAATGTCTATGTGAGATCAATAAGACGCATGCATTGGAGAATATGATATAAATATCGATTAGATAAATCGCAATCAGAATCAGATTAAAAAAGTATTAGGGTAGAGTATTAAACTTAGGCCAGTCATTGTTTTGGCTTCTTTAACCTACTATATCAACAATTAAATGCGTGAACTAAAATATCATACCAGCTTATTAGTTGCAGGAGTCTAGTGAGTAGTGATTCAACAACAACTTTTTAATGGCAAACTTGAAAAGCAAGAACATAACTAAGATACAAATAAAGGAATTGAGAAACAAATTCCATAGACTAGTGTTTCTGTCATTGCGTTGGTTTTTCTTATCACACTCACAAACTGTTGAATCATACAATTAACATTCTACTGAAAATTGATTCCTTCAGTAATTAGCATTTGATAATTAGTAGTTTGTAATTAAGCTTAAAACACGCTCTGGATCTGTCTTCCTTTAATCCAAAATATTGAAAGTGATGGACATATTTCAAGTAGTGTAGAATCTTCAAATATGGGTGTATAATGGGAGGTTTAGTCTAAACCACTTATTTCTAACACTTTGTTTTAGGCTTTTAGCATGTAAGTTTAGTGCCATCCATTCTGGCACCAGATCAGCCTACAGAAATTTAATTCAGAATGACTGTTAGTCAGTCAGGTCAGTGCCTTCTGGCTGCAATAAGTTGAAGGTCGCTATACTAAAAATGCACTTTTTCAACCCTATTCAACCATTTTCGTGACATATTGCAAATTGTTGTTAATTTGACATTTTCGTGAATATTGCAAAAACCAACAGCAATGACAGAAACACTAGTCCATGGAATACAATCACTAATTCCAGTAAACAAAAGAGGAAACTTAGCTTATGTATATAAACTACCAGAGTCTTGGAGCTTAGCGGTGGTCCGGTGGATTTCTTCTCGATGCCAAGGACGACGATATCGGTTCCACGTACTCCAACTGCGGGTTCCCCTTACGGATGGCTTCCCGAGCGTATTCCACTGGAAAGAAAACACAAAATCTGTCAAAAACCCATCTTTGAGATGCGGCCACGATAAAGTTATGAGAATCTGAGGTGAGAGATCAGAGATGAGATGAGAGTGAGAGATCAGAGATGTGAGAGATCAGAGATGACTGATGAGATGAGATTGAGAGAGTGAGAGGCGTGACTGCTGCGTGAATGGAATGCGTGAAAAATTAGGGATTCAAAGAACAAAACTCATTACTGCAAATACGGGTGCTCGCGGGTGCCCGCGGGTTCACCGTATAACCCGTGTGTATCTGGGCCGGATACGGGTACGGGTCTTAAAAAACGGGTTTATTAAATTGGCCCGTACCCTATATTTTTTACCCGGGTACGGTCCAACCGCGGGTCTAGACCCGTTTTGCCGTAGCTAAAATGGCTATAAATGAGACAACATCAACCCTAGCAAATAAATCACATCCTAATATCAACTTACACAATCTCAAATTTAAATCCAAACATGCCAAATTAGTAAGAAAAACTCAAAATATGATTTTTAAACATAAATTCATAATTTCTCTTAATTGTCTCAATATAACTTCAATTCAATCACACATGGGATATTTTTATCACCAAAATAGAGTCACTTTCACGACTCTAACAGTTGTGTAAACGGTGCGTTTTAGTGTACACCATGCTTATAAGTGTATCACGCGTACTTTCATCAATGAAGGAAAAAACACCTTACCAAAAGCAAAAATCTGTTACAGCAACTTCTCTGCATTTTTCTTTCTCTGCATCTTTTTCGTTCTTTTCTTTAAACTTTCTTTTGAAAAACTACAAGTTTTAATCGCGAGAATATCAGAATTGCAATTCAATCTTAATTGTAATCCATTTAATTTTGCTATTTCATTTGTAAGAAGCTTGTATATAGACCCTCTCCAACGATGGAGAAGGGGTTAGCAAATTATTCTATGAACTATACTATTTTCTTGTAAGGTCTCAAAGCAAATAAGCTAGACAGTGGACGTAGGCTCAATACCCAAACTTGTCGAACCACTTTAAAAACTTCTTGTGTTCTTTACATTATTGTATTCATATTCATTCAATTGCTGGTTATCTTTAATTATGCACACACCCGTTCTGATTTCACCAAAATCAATCGAATAATTCTAGTTAGTGTAAATCTTGCATCAAAATTGTGCATTTAGCATTGCATATTCTGATTTTGTCAAGACATATTAATTTTTGAGGTGAAACATCTTAGTGCAAATTCAACGTAAATTGGTAATATTGAACCGATTAAGATCTTCCGCTGCCCAGCACCAGCTCCACCATTGAGTTCGTCTTACGGCCATTTGCAAATGCCACAAATGTGCAACACTACATTCATCACTAAAAAATAAATAAAGAAGCAAATTCATTTAAGATATATAGTCATCATGTTCATGATCTAATCTGAATTCAGATGGAGTATTAATCAGAAAACTAGTCAAATTCATGCCAATGTTTGGAGTCATTTCTCTAGGTTTGGCCTCAAACATGTCTCTTCACAATTATTAAATTATGCAAGCATGCACACATCAAGCACACATGAATAGTTGTGTTATTTTTATATAGGACCTCTAATTAATGAAAATATTAATCTTACAAGACCAACATTATATATTTCTATCTTCTTGTTCACCAGATAATTGATTACGGATGACAGAGATTAGCCATGGTTTTTGATATTTCGCAAAGAGGAATCACATATTTAACAAATCCAATATTATCTAGAAAACTCATTTAACATTAAATTGTAAGACAGTCACAAGGCAACTGAGCCATAGTCCTTTATTTTATTTTCAAATCATTATATGGCCAATTTAGAGGACCTTTGAGATTACTGGGGTACCACACACATGCTAGTATTTGTCATTCCGTCTTAAAAAATACATAACATAGAGTTCATAGTTTGATCACATAACTAACTAAAGATTTGAAATATTAAACACCACAATAGGCTTTGATGGGGCACTTGGCTTTGTAGCCTTCATCCGTGCGAAAGAAACGCAGCAGTCCGAGATGCTCAAAGGGTTTGTATTGTAAAGGGTGTTTATCATCAACAAGCTCCTCAGGAACTTCCACAATTCCATTGCCAAATGAAAACAACGCAAGAGAGTATCTGTCAACTTCCCCTTTCATTATCACTCGATGGCTCGGAGAATGTATCCTGTCATTGCTCCATGCCTATGAACAGAGAAAAAAAAAACCATGAATCCTTAAAAAAAATTATACAAAATTAATTTTTTTTATTTTGACTCACCATAAATGCATCCCCAGCAATGACCACAAACGATGAAGGTGAAGAAAAGTCAACATTAATTTTCTGGCCATCCCTTGTATCAATCTCCAGACCATTGATTTGATTTTGATGAAGAATGGTGGTGAAACTCTTATCAGTGTGAGTAACAAAACCTAGATTAGGTTCATCCCCCTTGGGGGATCTATTTTTCAAGACTCGAAGGAGGTAAGTGATTGAGGTCTTGTAAGAATCATAGTACTTCTCCACCCCATAGCTTTCAAACACCATTCTTGTCACCATTTGATCTAACTCCGCCACCAGCTTTGCATATGTGTGCACAGTTTTACTGGTCAAGAAAGGAAAAAAAAAATATATAAAAACTTAAAATATATTAGAGATTGAAGAAAAAATTATCGAAACACGGAAAAATTGGTAGCATAAAGACTTAACTACTTTCATAGAAGAAAGGGGCCTTTTCTTGAGAACACAAAATAGAAGGAAATTGACTGAGTTTTCCAAGGTCAGTGGGAGCTTGAGCCCCCATTCAGCCCTTAGTGACTCCATCCCTATGAAACACATAATCAGAAGCAGAAATGTGAAGTGAAATGATACCTGAAATGATCATTTCCTTGTGGCCACATGATATTTGAAAAGTTTTGAGTTGCTTGTAGAAATGTTGCTTCATCGATGCCCATACTTTCATGGAGAGGAAGCTTAAGAATTGGGCCGACGTAGCCATTTAAGGGTTTTTCATATCTGTTTTTCTTTTTGGTTTCAGTGGGGAGATCAAACAAGTCTTTTAAGCAACCAAAAACTTCACCGCAAAGTTTCGGTGGAAGTTTATTGTACTCCATTATGAAACAGCCATAGTCTTCAAGAGCTTGCCGAACATCATTACACGTTTTGAACCAAGTAGTTGTTCCGGGCTCCAAGTCTTTCCTGGAGAAATCTAGAACAGGAAGCTTGGGCAAAATTTCGGAAACCATTTTTTGCTGTTTATTTCGAGGTCAATTAATTCTTTAGTTATGGATATATACTCTGTTGTTCAGCTTTCTTATAAGTTTTTAGATTCAATAGAAAACAAATAAGATAATGTGCAATATGAACAATGTAGCTTAACCACTATTGAGTCCTGATGGTAAAAGAGCAAAGGAAGATTTAACATGGTCTTTCAAGTTTGAATCCCCTTGATGGTAAAAGAGTAAGAGGAGAATCTAACATAGTCTCTTAAGAGGAGGATCTAACATGATCTCCCGAGTTCGAGTTCTCATGGTTGCTAACAAGGGTAGGTACGGGAGTTCATACCCAACCAATAGTTTCAGCATCCTGAGAAATTAGTTGAGGTATGCGTAAGCTAGCTTGGATACCCCTGGTCATTAAAAAAAATGGTAGCTTGAATTCATTGTCATTTTGGCATTATATTTTGTAGCAGAATGGATGTTTTTGAGTCACATATGCTTAGAGAATCAAATTGGTGGTTAATGAGATCTCAAATATTTGTCTCTATATGTACATTACAAATCATGGACCAATTTAATAGGCTGAATTCTTATGTGATAATTATATATATATATCAAGAACATGATTGGCACCCAAGAAAATGATGAGGTTATGATACGCAAATAGGTTTCATGGATCATTTATCATTGAACTAAAATATAATCGAACATAAAGGCAAGAAGCATATCAATTAATGAAAGCTTTCAAAATCAACACTATCTTCTAATTTAATTGTCTATAATTGAATATATTAAATTTTTTGTATTTTCTGTTTAAATACAATATATATATATATTTGAGGTGTCAAAATCTGGTCCCAAATTCGAGAGACAAGGAATCCTTTTTGTATAATATAAAGGTCATTACCAAATATTTTCATTCATTTTTTTTTTTCAATTAATAAAGTTATCATATATATGTATTTGCTCAAAACTTCTTCCCGTAATTCAATCACATCTAATTAGATGTAAGCAAATGCTTTCGTTTTCATTAAAATGATATTACTTAATTAGAATTTCAACATCAACTATATATGGACCACTATTAGTTGCCTAAAAATCTTTTTAGTAACTAGTTTAAAGTACTATGTAAATTTTATTCTAACATTATAATATGATACATTTCAGATTGTTACCCTACATAAAATATACTTAATTTTTATTTTTTTCAACCAAAAGGTGTCTAGACCAGCCTATGCATACCTCGACTAATTATCAGAGGAGACTAGCACAACAATCCATCAGACCAATCATCGGGAGAGACTAGCGCAACAATCCACTGCTACAGCCCCTACTTAAATTGTAGATGCTTAAATAGAAAATCGAACTTGAGATCATACATCTATCCATACTATCTCTAATTCGCCCACCATTTGGACTACCCGCGGATGGGTGTATGCTTTAATTTCATTTTCACTAGCTAGCTAAATACATTTGATATGAAATATAACTCATTAATAATTTGGACTGGTGTGTTGACCAAAGATTCATGGTGCTAACTGCAAGTTCTCAAAATGTGAGGACCTGATTAGAAGTTTCACAAACGATGTCGTTTCACTTTATTTGTAAAAGTCTTCTTCTCAAAACGATTATTCAGTGTGTGTGAGCTGCTGTAACTTTACTCTTCTTCACTCTCTCTCTCACTTGTTTTCTTCAAGTATATAAGCAGCCACAATGTATTGTAACAAGTTAATCAATCAAATACAAAGAATTATTCAGCTTAGAATCAAGTTTTATCTTTCTTTTCTTTCAATTTCACATGGTATCAGAGCCCTAGACTCACGTCAATGGCTGATTTTTCTGGTGTTAATCTCTCTGCAAATAGCATGAATAAGCTCCAAAATTCCACTGATTCACACTCCTCAATCTTCTCTTCAAGCTTACAAGTGATTAATCCAAAGTTGACGCGAGACAACTATCGAGATAACTATCGATTTTGGAGGTCGCAAGCTCTTTCTACTGTTGGAGCTCATGAGCTGGAAGAACACCTCACAGGTTTAATTCCGTGTCCTCAACCTTTAATTTCATCAGAAAGTGAAAATTCCTCTGAAATAGAAAGTGCTCTGTCAAAAAACAACCTAACCAAAAGCAAAGTCAATCCGGTGTATATTGCTTGGAAACGAACTGACAAGTTTTTAGTTACTTGGTTACTTGCTTCAATCTCTGAATGCATGTTCAGTTGTATATCAAAATGTCAGCTCTCATATGAGATTTGGTTTGCTCTTGAGCGAGAATTCCTAAATGATTCTAAAGCCAGAGCTCTACATTTGAAAAACCTATTACAAACTACACAAAAAGGCAATTTAAGCATTAGTGAGTATGTAAAGAAGATGAAAAATATAGCAGAAAGTTTAAGTGCTAGTGGTCCAGTTATCACTGATGAAGAAGTACTCCAGTATGTGTTAGACGGTTTGGGACCTGAATTTGATGCAGCGGTGGTTAACTTGACTTCACGGCTTGAATCCAAGTTTGATATAGTGACACTTCAAGAAGCACAGTTCTTGTTACAGAAGTATGAACTGAGTTTAGAAAAGTTTAATTCTGTTGATTTTTCTGCTAGTTCTGTCCACGTTGCTACTGTGAGTAATACTGGTCTTAAGCCAACCTTTATCAACACCAATAATCCTACAAATGATCCTGTAAACACTTCAAGTTCCTCATATCAATTTCATCCATCCCTAAACACTTTATCCAGTCCATCTTTTGCTCAACATTGTCCTTTACCTGCTCCAGTTCCCTCTGTCCATTATGGCCTTTTTTTTCAACCAGCATCTTATAATCCTTATAGTGCTTCAATCGTCTCCTATCAACCTACTGGATTTATAAGTTCTGGACAAGGAAGAGGTAGAGGAAATGGTAGGGGCAGATCGATTTGTCAACTGTGCAGTAAAATTGGACACACTGTTGTGCAGTGTTATCATCGGTACAATTCTAATTACAATGGTGTCCCTCCTTAGTACAACTCAAATAATCATTCCATAGGTGTTGTAAATGGTGCATCTCCACAGTTCAGTTCTACTAATCACTTAATTGAGAATAGATCTTTCAACTCCAGTGAGCAACTTAATGGATCTTTTACCAATCCAAACAATCAAACAACACAGATCTCTTCACAGCAATCTCCACAACCATTACAACCTGGCTTTGTCTCTTTCAATACAACATAACCACATGGCAACTATAGTGGTCTTAACCATCAACAACATCACTTTACCTCACCACCACAAAACCTCACAGTTCCAAGCCAGCAGATCACAACACCAACTCAAACTTACTTTGCCTCTCAACAACCTTCACCATTTAACTCACAGCCTTCATCACATATACCTGTTGCATCAAATTCCTACACAACTGCTCAAGATCCTGCTTGATATATGGACTCCGAGGCTACGGATCATGTCATTTCTGACCTCAATCAGTTGACTATTAGCAAAAACTATGGTGGAGCTGATCAGCTACAAGTAGGCAGTGGTGAGGTCCTTGATATCTCACATATTGGCTTTACTTCCTTACCTAGCTCTTTATAATCTAAATGTTTACACTTAAAAAACGTTTTGTGTGTACCTAGAATCACTAAAAATCTGCTCAGTATATCTAAGTTCACTAAGGATAATAATGTTGTTGTAGAATTTAACTCTGATTGTTGCACTGTTAAGGACAAACTTTCCAGGGCAGTGTTACTGCAGGGAGAACTTTATCAGTTGAGACATCCTTCTGTCAGTCCTCTATCTTCCTTTAATCAGTCTACTGCAACTTTTAAATGTCAGAGTTTTGTCTCATTGATTGAACCTATCAAAGTAACTTCTACTGAACCTGAGTCTGCTGTTAAGAATAAGTTTGATGTTATTGATAATCAGCCTGTAGGAAGCTGTGTTAAAACCTCCAGTCTTGATTCTTGCAATAATCCTATGTCTAGTCTTAAGAATAAATCTACATACTATCTTAAGGTTGGCAGTACCAAAAATAGTAGTAATGAAATAGCTAGTGAATCTGTTTTGAACAATTGTAATTCTGTTGCCTTTAATAAAGATGGTTGTGATTTGACACACTGTACTAGTATTTCTGACATGTCTGCTATTAATGTATTATCAAATACTGCTCATGATAATTGTTTTACTAATTATACTGTTGTTACTAGTAATAATTCTGATATGTTTGATGCATCAGCATGTACTGTCAATATTCCCTTACATACTATCTCTGATTATGATTCTCATGTATCTGACATTGCAGCTTCATCAAATACAAATCATGTTGAAATACACAGAAATCTTCAGTTTGATATAGGTGCATCTGTTTCTAATATTCCTAATTGTAAATCCAGCATCACTGACTATCCATCTCTAGCATTACAAGTTGTTAGTAACAAAGAAATTGTTTCCTCACTTTGGCACAATCGTCTAGGTTATCCACACTCAATAGTTTTTAATAAAATCATGCATCAAGTGCACTCAAATTCATCACAAACCATTCCAGCCTTATCTTTTTGTGATGCCTGCCAACTTGGCAAAGTACATAGAAACCATTTTCCTATCTCTGACTCTAGAGCCACTAAACCATTAGAATTGATTCATAGTGATTTATGGGGTCCAGCTCCAATTGTATCTTTAGAAGGGTTCAAATACTATATCCATTTCCTAGACGATTATAGTCGATTTACATGGTTATTTCCCTTAAGAACCAAGGCTGAAGTGCAATCTATCTTTATCAAATTCCATCACTTAGCCGAAAGACAATTTCAACATAAAATCCATTGTTTACAATCTGATCAAAGGGATGAGTATAGAGGTTTAGTGCCTTACTTAACATAATCAGGAATCCAATTTAGGTATTTGTGTGCTCATGTGCATCAACAAAATGGACGTAGTGAAAGGAAGCATAGACACTTAGTAGAGACAAGTTTAACTTTGTTAGCACATGCATCCATGCCTATGCATCTCTGGTGGTTTGCATTTGACACTGCTACTTTTCTAATAAATAGAATGTCTACTGCTGTTTTGGATTTTATTTCACCATATCAAGTGCTGTTTGGTAGACCACCCCTATACAATTCTTTAAAGGTTTTTGGGTCAGCTTGTTTCCCTTATTTGAGAGATTATAATCAACATAAACTTAGCTTTCACTCTTCAAAGTGTGTGTTTGTAGGATATAGCCTAATTCACAAAGGTTATAAGTGTCTAAGTGCCGAAGGAAAAATTTACATTACTCCTAATGTTAAATTTCATGAAATAGAGTTTCCTTTTAAATCTGGTTTTGGTCAGCCTAATACTTAAGCCCCTAGAGAAACATATCTCAAAGAGTCACACACTCATTTTCCTTATTCCAAAGTTCAACCACCTGATGTGTCCAGCAAAAAAGTCTCTCCAGCAGAACTGAGCTCTCAAGTTAGTCCTCATTCAACAGTTGGAGTATCAAATTCTACCTCACCATAATCATCCTATAAGTTTGACCTTGATTCTGAAAATACCTCCAATTTACCTACTGATTCCTCTCCAAATTCTTTAAACACAGCACCTGATTCATCTAAACTAGTGTCCAATCCTCAAAATCCCTCTCTTGAACTGATACCTTCTCCCTATAAGAAAATTGATTCCAAACTCTCAAACCACACACTTGCAATAGATCTGACCTCTTATCCACCTCTTCATCCTTCTGTCACTTCTCAATCACCTTCCAATCAAGATCTTACTCACTGCCCACTTGTAGTTCACTTGGCACCCTCACAATTTCTCACTACATCAACTGATCAACATCCAAATACAAACACATATCCCATGTTAACAAGGCCCAAAACCAATTCTTTCGTGACCCTCAACCATTTAGGAAAAACTGCACTTATTTTATCTGGTAACACCCCTGTCCTCCCTGAACCTTGTTCTGTGAAAGAGGCATTAGCTACTGTTGAATGGAAAGAAGCTATGCAAATGGAATTTGATGCACTAATGAAAAACAACACTTGGATTTTGGTACCAAGAACTAATGACATGCATGTAGTTGGGAATAAATGGGTGTTTAGGACCAAGTTTCATGTTGATGGATCTTTGCAAAAATACAAACCTAGATTAGTTGCTAAAGGGTTTCAACAAACACTCGGGTTGGACTACTTTGAAACATTTAGTCCTGTAGTTAAACCTTCCACCATTAGGATCATTCTCACCCTTGTTGTAACTAATGGTTGGGATATCCAACAAGTGGATGTGAACAATGCATTTCTTAATGGTACTTTGAATGAAGTTGTCTACATCCAGCAACCTGATGGATTTGAAAATGCTGATGTTCCCTCTTATGTTTGCAAATTAAATAAGGCTTTCTATGGCCTAAAACAATCCCCTAGAGCCTGGTTTGACAAGCTGAAGTTTGCACTTATTGCCAAAGGATTTCAGAATTCTATTTCTGATTCTAGTTTGTTCATTTGTAAAAATTATGGTCATGTTACATATATTCTTATATATGTGGATGACATTTTGATTACTGGATCCAACTCTTCATCCATACATCAGCTTGTTCAAGAATTGAATGATCAATTTGCTTTAAAGACACTTGGTTCCATCAAATACTTCTTAGGGTTAGAAGCTACAAGAACACCTGATGGTATTCACTTAAAACAGACTAAATATATTGTTGATCTACTTATCAAGATAAAAATGTAAGATTCTCATGCATGTTCAACCCCAATGGCTGTTGGTATCAAATTCTATTCTACAGACAGCTCTTTGTTCAAAGACCCTAGTCTTTATAGGAGCACCATAGGAGCCCTTCAATACCTTACTGTTACTAGACCCGATATAAGCTTTGTAGTAAACAAACTAAGTCAGTATCTTCAAGCTCCTACCGAGCTTCAATGGCAGGCTTGCAAAAGGGTTTTAAGGTATATAAAAGGCACTCAGTACTATGGATTACAGTTCAGACCAGTAGCATCTCTTAGCATTGAATGTTATGTTGATGCGGATTGGGGTAGTAGTTTGGATGACCGAAGGTCTACAAGTGGGTATTGTGTGTTCTTTGGTTCTACTCTAATTCAATGGAGCTCAAGAAAACAGAAGGTGGTTGCTCTTTCATCAATTGAAGCTGAGTATAGGGCATTAGCTAACATAGCCAGTGAAATTGCATGGCTGCAGAGCATGTTTTCAGAGTTAGGATTAAACTTGAAAACTCCTCCTGTTATTTGGTGTGATAATGTGAGTGCGGGTGCTCTTGCCGCAAATCCTATTTTCCATGCACGAACCAAACACATTGAAATTGATGTTCACTACATCAAGGATCAAGTTCTTGCAAAGAAGATTGTAGTTCAGTATGTACCATCTCAACTACAAATAGCAGATGTGCTAACCAAGGCTCTGTCAGTAACTCAATTTCAAGAACTGAGACAGAAATTGAATGTTCTTGCCATGCCTGTTGATGGTTTAGAGATCATTGCAACAAAGTAGTGCAGCAGATCAGTTGCAATGGTGTTGCTAAATGAAGAATTTTTTATGCAGTTTTGATGTGGTAATGCAGAAGCAGAAGTAGTGCAACAGTACTTGTTGTGGTGTTGTTAATGCCGAATCTTTATGAAGTTTTGGATTGATGCAGAATTTTTGATTGTTGTGCAGCAGATTACTTGTTGTGGTGTTGTTAATGCAGAATCTTTATGAAGTTTTGGATTGATGCAGAATTTTTGATGATGTAGAAGTATTCATGCATGATTTTTTGATGTTGTAGAAGTATTCATGCAGAATTTTTGATGATGTAGAAGTAATGTAGCAGGTCAGCTGTTATGGAGTTGTGAATGCAATTTTTATGCAGTTTTGGTGGTGCAGAAAAATAATGCAGTAGATCAGAAGTAATGCAGGGAGTTGTCAGTTTTTATGCAGTTTTGGTGGTGCAGAAAAATAATGCAGCAGATCAGAAGTAATGCAGGGAGTTGTTAATGCAGTTTTGGTTGTGTAGAAAAATAATGCAGCAAATTAGTAGTGTTGATAATGCAGATTTTGTTTTTGGAGATTTTATGCAGTTTTGTCAGCAGATAAGTAGTGTTGATAATGCAGATTTTGTTTTTGGAGATTTTATGCAGTTTTGTTGGTGCAGAAGTAATGCAGCAGATCAGTAGTGTTGATAATGCAGATTTTGTTTTTGGACATTTTATGCAGTTTTATTGGTGCAGAAGTAGTGCAGCAGATCAGTAGTGTTGATAATGCAGACCTTTGTTTCTGGAGATTTTTTTTTAGAAGAGCAGTAAGAGGAGTCAATTTCTTTACTGATAGAAAGCAGAATCAGTTTTGTTTGCGGGGAAATGTTGAAGATATAATGGAAAAGAGAAGCAGCTTAGTTTGAGGGGAAATGTTGACCAAAGATTCATGGTGCTAACTGCAAGTTCTCAAAATGTGAGGACCTGATTGGACGTTTCACAAACAATGTCGTTTCGTTTTATTTGTAAATGTCTTCTCAAAACGATTATTCAGTGTGTGTGAGCTGTTGTAACTTTACTCTTCTTCACTCACTCTCTCACTTGTTTTCTTCAAGTATATAAGCAGCTACAATGTATTGTAACAAGTTAATCAATCAAATACAAAGAATTATTCAGCTTAGAATCAAGTTTTATCTTTCTTATCTTTCAATTTCACACGGTGATGCCAACTTGTAAATAGGACCACAATCTCATTAATTGACTATAATCATAAACATTTAGACGTTAAATTGGACAACTATTAAAAATGACAAATTTGATATCAAATAAAATATATTGATCATTGTGAGGTTGATATAGTTGGTGTTGAAAGCTATATATTCAATTATTTTTTTTAAACAAAAGAAATATTGGTACAAGTTAAATAATCAATTTTATATTATAAAAGACTGAACGATGCTTTCTTCTTCATATGTATAATTTCATATTAGATATGATTTAAAATTTATTAGGGATTAGGATTTTATCCATCTAACTGTTGATAAACTTTACCAGCTTGGACCACTAGGAGTCTAGGACCACAATTATATAATAAATAAATAATTTTTTTATTTTAATTATTGAAATATGGAGCGTCTATTATATTTTTAAAATTATAAGAGATGTTGATGATGTCAATTGTCAACCCAAATCCAAATAAGAGGGTAGAAAAACTAGAAAGTATAAAGAAATAGAGAGAAAAAACCTCAAGGGTTCGCCTAACAGTCAAGAAGGTTTGCTCTTTGCATTGACTTTCTGGGTTCGAATAACGTTGGTGCCACCTACCACATTTGTAGCTTAACCTGGAACATTAGGCTTGTAGAGTATTCAATGGACTTCGAGTAGAGGTGGAAAAAATGGGCCGGGTTAGGCGGGTCAACCCTAACCCGGCCCGTAATGAAGAGGGTTCGGTGGGCCGGGTTGAGCCCAACCCGCCAGCAACCCTCGAGCGGGCCGGGTTGCAAAATGGCAACCCGGCGGCCCGCGGGTTGCTATTTTGTCATTTCTGCAGGAGGACCGCCAACCCGGCGGGTTGCATGCCGGTTGGTTGGCCAAAAAAAAAATAAAAAAAAATGTAAAATTAATTTATTTTTTTAAATTACCCTTTTACCCTTGAAATATAGCCGTTTTATAGCCGTTGGAGGGGTGTTTTTCGTCATTTTCTTTCCCCCTTTTTTTCTATAAATTGGCCCTAAACTCTCATATTTTTCTCACAACTCAAATTCTCTCATTCTCTCATATTCTCTAATCTCTATTCTCTCAATTATTCATTTATTCTCTTAATCTTTTTGTTATCAATTTGCTCTTATTTTAATTTTTATTAGTTTTTGCAATTTTCAATTCATATTTCCAATTTTCCAAATTNGAGTAGTAAGTGTCAGTATATATCTCAAGGTTGCTCAATGCTTACTTGTATAAGTCTGATTTCTTGTACAGATCAGCAAAATCAATCCCCAAAGCCACTTCATGTCCTGGAGATGTAATATCCAACATCCAGGCTGCTGGATTGTAACCAGGTTTAATTTTACTGACTCCTTCTATTCCCTTCATAAACAGTCAGTTGTATGCTTCAGCAATAAGTAATCATGAACTAAAAAGTTTGACATTCTATTAATTATAGTGAAATTGTGTTGTCCACCACAACATACCTGAAAATACTTGACCAGATGACATGAACGGTGACCCAATGGCCCCACGTATATCTCTTGCCCTCCTCGCTTCAATAGGAATAGCTACAATGCCATATTAAATCTGTCAACGACATATAGGAAAGAATAAAACAGAAGTGGATAACTCTTTTATTTTATTAAGATTTCTCACCTCATCAAAACCTTCAAATAAGTCGATGCTAGGCTGATGTATGGTGCATACAACTGTTCTTCCTGTGTCAACTGTGTTCCTAACAGTTCTCATGACAATTGCAGCAGCTCTTGCATCTAGCCCTGAAGTTGGTTCATCCATGAATATAATGGAGGGGTTAGCTACCAACTCAACCGCTATGGTTAACCTCTTACGCTGCTCAGTTGATAGACCATTCACACCAGGCAACCCAACTAGATTTCCTTTCAATGGGGTTAATTCAATAAGCTCCATGATTTCATCAATGAACATCTGCAACCATTTTTCAACAAAAAAGAAAAAAAAAATTAATGTGACAAGCCAACAAAGTTTTAAGCATTTCTGTCTTGTCTCAATCTCAATTACCCACCTTCCTAGCTTCAGAGTTCACTTCTGGGGGCAGTCGTAGCCATGCTGAGTAGAGCAAGGATTCATAGACAGTAACATGAGGAGAGTGAATGTCATTTTGCTCACAGTATCCTGAGATTCGAGCAAATGTTTCCTGCTTCTTCGGATACCCTGAAATTGTGATGTTCCCTTCTATGTATCCACCAGTCTTCCTTCCAGCCAGCACATCCATCAGAGTGGTTTTACCAGCACCACTTACCCCCATTAAAGCTGTTAGAACACCAGGTCTGAAAGCACCACTCACACCTTTCAGTAGCACCAATTTTTCATCAGCGAGACCTTGATCTTTCATTTCCTGTTATTCCACAGTAAAATGTAATTAGTTCTCTATTGCCATTTATTTTTGGACAACAATACTTTCCAGTTTCCAACTTCAATTATTTATCATAAGTTACCTTTGGCACGCCTACTGAGTATGTAATATTTTCAAAGGTAATGCAACGTTGTTCAAATGGAAGGATCATCCCTCTTCTCTTTTCATGAATGATTATAGCAGCAGTTTCTGGCCTCATGAATAATGACTCCTCTAAGGTGGTTCTTCTACCAATATCATTTCCTTTTTCTGATTGCCAATCAAAATTACTTGTCATAAAAAAGAACAGGGGGGCCAATTTGCAAAAGAAAAGTAGAAGAAATTATTGTTTTGGCACAAATACCTGCATGGGTTGCTTTTTTGTCTCTGTCATCATCTTCAGTGCTTTGGTTAACTGATTTAACAGCCTGAGGTTTATGAAGTGCTGCAATTTTTTTACCCAAAGTTAGAATATACATTTTGACCTAAAAACACTTAAATTTGGAGATGTTAACATACTGACCGTTCAGATAAGTGAGAGCCACTATATTTCCCAAATTGAATAGTAATGTGAAGCCAATCAATGCACCTACTCCTATCCAGTACCAATAGGCATCTGAGAAGAAGCCCTTGGATTTTAATACTGCAACTCCAAGTGTTTCCGCGGAATTCGGAAAAACCTTCTGTTACGAAATTTATTCAGATATTAGTATGTTTGATTTCAGTGCGAATGCATGTATGCTTACTAGTCTGATTGAAGAACTTACATGACTCCAGCTCTCCCCAAGAAATTCATTTACCGCGATTGCATTCTGTCCATACATCATAGGTGATATCCAGTAACCCCAAATCCACCATTTCTTTACCTCATCTATGGTATCAAACAAAGCAAAGAAAGAACCATTCTTTAAGGTTTAGTCATGTGGACATAAATGAGTTTAAAGTTTGTTTGCTTATTATACCTCTTGATAGAACAAAGCCAGAATTTGCAAAAAGTACTAGCAGTATAAATGATCCAAATGTGGTAGCAATAATCAAGTCTCTAGCCAATGCCGCAGTCAGTCGAAATAATGCAGAGGCCATTTGGTTAGTTAAAAAGAGCACAAGGTACTGCTTGAAAAACCTGTGGCAAGAAAATGTCTTATAATCTGGACAGAATGAAAAGATGAAACTATCTTTCATAGGTTCTTTCGATTTGTTTACCTATGAATATGAGGATCGAATCCCATGACATAATAAGTGATAAATACCCAAACTCCAACTTCTATGATTGTGACTGGAATCTTGAGAATCCATACAGGAAGAGCATATGCCCATGCTGGAAAAAATAGTAGGTCCTTTTGCTTGTAGAAGACAGGAAGCTTAAAAATTGTCAAGGCAAGTTCTGCCAATCCGTTAAACGTAATCATAACTATAACGAAGAATAAAGCCCCCATATAAATTCCTCCATCAATTAAATTGCTGCACATCATCTCTGTCCGCAGGAAGATTGTTGATCCAATTAGTGCCATCACTATAAGCTGTGAGCAGAAAAAAAATGTACCCGGTTATAATCAGTTTCACAATGCCATGAGAAAAATGGATAAATTCATATGAACAAACCACCTGAATGAGGTTGAAGATGTGGACAAATGCATTCCTTTTCATCAACAATATTTCTTTTGCGAAGCAAGCATTCAGTAGCTCTCTCTTTTTAACACCATATTTCTTGGTTGTTAAAACTGATGGGTGGCTTTTGCTCTTGTCAAATGGAGTTGCAAGCTCAGTTTTCAGTTTCTTTCCCAAATGGAATGATTGAAATGCCTCAGCAAACTCCTTGACTGTGACAAAACTGTAAGGCTCATCATTACGTGCCCAATACTGTTGCTGATCTTTCCTTGATGTTACCTGCAACAAATTAATTATTCAATAAGATCAAAAAGCACTTTGTTGTCTCACCTTCAGGAAAAACACTTATTATTTTAATAATAATGTATACGACAAATAAAAGCTAGTTGTATGCTTACTTCTTGCAAGAAGTCAGCCACACCCTTTCTCTCGGGGCACTTGAAGCCCATGGATTCAAAAAATTCTAGCACTTGTTCACGGGGACCCTGGTACACAATCTGGCCATCTGAAAGTAGAATAATGTCATCGAAAAGATCATATGTCTCTGGTGCTGGTTGCAGGAGAGAGATGAGAGCAGTTCCTTTGAGAATGTGAACATATTGCTTGAGTGAATTCACAATTTGGAAAGTTGTTGAGCTATCCAAACCAGTAGATATCTCATCCATGAGCAATACCTGTGCTGGTCCAACAAGCATCTCACCTGAAATTCAATTAAAGAGGAGTTTTTATTCATGAGTTTTATTCATATATTGAAATTCGTTAATGTCATAATTTGAGGTTGTTTACCAGTGGTGAGTCGCTTCCTTTGTCCACCAGAAATCCCTCTTAGCATATCATCCCCAACCATTGTATCTGCACAAATTTCCAGTCCTAAAACCTTCAAGTGGCAAGCAAAGTTTAGTATTCTATCAAGTGATTAATGAAAATCTTTTCATATTCTTAAAATGCTTTCTTGTGGTAATACCTTTATAATGTAATCTGTGACTACATTTGTCTCCATTCCTTCTGTTGATGCCGCCTGGAACATAAAAATTCAAGAAATATAATGCCACGAATTTCCACATTATTCTAAAAAATATGAATTGCTATGTTTTGCTATATTATCACCTTCATGAAGACATCAAGATCAGGATCAGGCTTTATGTTTGCTACTTTTTCCCTTCTAGCCAACTCCGCTAACATCTCTGCAGATAGTCAATGTGGTTAAGATCAATACTTTTAACAATGTAAACCACTGAACTAAATTCTGGAAATTAAAATGTAGATTTAGAATATTAGGTAAATGAGAATCATTCATTCAACTAACCGTAACGAGAGCCAACCCCTTGGCATCTTGCAGAGAAGGACAAGGTTTCTCTCACTGTCATTTCTGGAATATGAAGATCATGTTGACTAATATATGCTGCACTTCTTTGAGGCACAAACTCATTCATTTCATGGCCATTGTAAGTGATCTTCCCTGAGAGCTGAACCAGAAATTTCAATCTTTAATTTGTATATTAAACATCAAGCTAACATCCATTAGAGAACTAATTAAAGCTGTTAAAAAGAAATATCCACCTTCAAATCTGGATCAAGCTTTCCAGCCAATGCCATCAAGAGTGTGGTCTTTCCAGAAGTTGGAGGACCCAAAAGCAGTGTCATTCTGCAAATCTTAGACAAACCAAGGTTCTTGTTACGTAAATACTAAAAATTCACTATACTCTTAAGCCGCCATTAGTTTGAACTGAATTAAACCAAATTCAATTCATGAATATAATCATATGTATAACCCTGCTTCTCACCTGCAAGGTTTGATGATTCCAGTGACATCCTCAAGAATGCGCAGATGCCTTTTTCTACTGGGAAGTAAATGAAGATAGTTCAAGAAGCTCTGTGACATGCAAGGAATAAAGTCAGTTGAAACATTAAACAAATTCAAATCAAAGTTTGTAACAGGGAATGGATGATGTCAATTTGGTTTTTAGTTACCTCTGCATTGTTAATGAAGAAGTTGAAGTAAGTGGGCAAAGCTCTTCTTCCTACATGAGCTTCTGCATCAACATTTACATTTTCAAATCTGACTTCAAGTGTGGGAATTTCAATTCCAACCCTGTCAAAGTATTTACAAAATTTCACAATCAAATCATCTATAGAGATATACACTTGAACTGAAAATCACAATTCCATTCAATAATAAACCAAAAACACTCGAACTCCATGCATTTGAAAAATATCAATGAGCTCCCTGGGTTTTATAAAAACACCGAATCACCTCCATCCCGGATATTAATTATCAACAAAATGAACATTTTTCAGGTGAAATTTCATCATTGCCCTTAAATATTGTGTGAATTTACAAGGAAATTTACCCTTTCTAATGTTAAAAAATAAATATTTATTTTTACAATGCTACGATTGAATAGTTACAAATTAAATCATGTTACAACTATATATATAATTTTGCAAAGAAATAACAGTACATAGGAATATAATAAAATAGTAAATTTATCATCATTTAAAATGTTTTAGAAAGAAAGCTGAGAGAAGGTAAAAAATATAATAAATTTTAAAGTGTTAAATTTTACTCAAAGAAAACTCTAATGAGATTTCTTAATGTCAAAGGATAATATATTTTCAAAATTGTTGGGTTTTTTTAATCAAAAGATAAATATTAGGGGAGATTAAATTCACCCGTTAATTTTAAACTATTAATTATTAAAGCTTGTCTATATGCGGACGACTAATTTCACAAACCTCCCCTAATTCATAATTTAATAAAAAAAAACACCCCTTATAATTTGGGAAATAGTAATCAAAATTCATGGATTAATGGACAACTGAAAAGGAAACATAAAATTAACCTCTACGTAACAAAAATTAACCAAAGAGTGAGAAGATTTCGGAAATTTACCCCTAGCGTTATAAATTTATATTATCTTGTAACAATAATTTTATTTTCTTTGTTTCTAATATTTAAAAAAAAAATATTTTTTTTTTAAATTCAATATCTCAAGACACATTAGAGTCATTAGACATATTTGAAAAACGAATTGAAAATTAAATTCACTGTTTCCAAGATCCGAGAATGTTTATAAAAATTTTATAAATAATATTTTGAAAATAAAAACAATAAAAGAACATAATACATATTTGAAATATTTGAAAATTGTAGGGAAAACGGTAAATTCCTTGCTATCACTTTTGTGTTTCGTTTTTTAAAAGAGTAATATTATATTTACAACTCAATTTCACAAATTTTCTCTTACAATCTCGACGTGACAGTTCGCAATGGATTTCGTCTATCCAATTACAAACTGGCACATCGGAGTTGTCAGTTGTGAGATAAAGTTTGTAAAATGGAATTGTGACTTCCATCTTTATTGTTTCGGGAAACACCAAATACAAAAATTGTTTTCTAGTCATTGTATTTTGTAAGAATTTAAAAAACTAAAAAAAAAAAAAAAACGTTTTCATTTTCCAAGAAAGCATGTCAACGTACTCGGAAAAAATAATATGTGTACTGTCCATGAATTCCAAAACGACCGAAATTCAAAAACATTAAATTCATTCTTGCCTATCCAAGCGGTTCCTGAGCTTCAGCAAGAACTTCTCATTATCTTCTTCAGTGTGTCTCACCAATCTGTCAACCAGATTCTTCCTTTCACGAGCTTCAAGCTTACTCACATCAACCTCACAACCGCCGCCATCCGCCGTGGACATGAGTAAACCTTTCTTTAAACGACTGTAAGTAGGAAGTCGCTCAAGTGCAGCCCATTTAAGCGCTTCTACATCATCGTCAGTTTCCTTTTCTCGAAAAGATTTTGAGAAAGCAGCCGCCATGCTGCCATTGTCCCTCCACATCGAAATATTACTAGAATTGTTTTCCTGTAAAGTGTGACGAACTTGATAAAGATCGGCACCTTCCATTTCTAAACGTGGAGAAACAAGAAGAATTTATGATTTTAAGAAAACGTACACTTTCTCTTATATGTAATGGAAAAGATGGCCAATGCCTTTAAGGTTTCTATGCTTCATCTCATTTTAATTTATATAGATGATTTCAGTAAACGCTGAGAGTTAGGACTTTCCACGTGTTAATTATGTACTAGGTTAATAATTAATTAAATTAACAATTAATATGATTATTAGTTTAAATTAAGAGTTGGATTATGTATAATTTATCACTTATAAGGCAGGTAAAATTAGTTAATTAGGGTCTTACAATTGGTCACATGTTAAAACTGATCATTACAGTTTAATCCTCATTTTTTTACATTATAATGTAAAGATTTAATTAATCTTTATAATTGGTCACATGTTTAAACTTTATTTGTCTTCTAGATTGAATTGAAGTCCGTATAAGATAGTTTTAAATGTTTTTTCTTTTATTTAAGTTTGATTTAAGATACTTAATTTTATCCGGGGGGGGTAAAAAATCAATTTGGTTTGTTTAATTTGAATATAAAATGTTAATTCCCTTTCATTTTTCTAAAAACCATTATTTCTGAATACATGCGTAGATTTTAGATACGATTAAACATTCTTTTTAAATGTTTTATTACTAAAAGTACAGAGATTTAACATTGTTCTCACATGTGAAGAATAATATTTAGATATTTATTCTTGCATTAATACAAATAAATTACATATTAATAAAAGAAATTAATATATTACATAACCGAAAGTATCTACCATACCATATAATAATACGTCTATAGAGATAAAAATCTAATTGATTTAGAAGGAATCGATCTTGTGAGAAGAGAGTTATTACAATCGGTGGACTACAAAAAGAGAACAAATGAACGTGAAGGCTCGGAGACATCAGGTGGTGTCTCTGTAGGACTTTTGACGCTCAAGTCAGAACTTGAGGTATTTATGAGGCTGAGACAGGAAGGGTTTACTATAATGATGCGGCTAGGGCAGACTGTAGTAAAATGGCCAGAGCACGGCTTTAGGAGGCTAAGGGGTAAAGTTCGTCGGAACTAAGCTTTATGGGAGGGAGCGGTTTTCTTAGGAGCAAGAACTTTAGAGCTAAAGCATGCTATTTGTGAATCAATAATGAGAGGTTGATCCTATTTATATAGTGAGCCAAGGAGGTGGATCCTACTTGTATGAGAGTTTGAATTAGGAAGGAACTCTTCCTTCCTTTATTGGTTTAGTATATAATTCATGTAAGATTCTTGATCTTGATGAATTAAAAGTGATAGGATTTGATTCTATTTTGGGAGAATGTGGGCTAATGATCTAGAGCGATTTAGCTTACTCTTGTAGAAAGGCCTATTCATGGTGCAGCCAAAGTGTAAAATTGGCCAATCGTAGTGGTGGCCTGCTCTAGAGAGGCCCACTCCAAAGTGCCAACTCGTGGAGATGGTGAGTCATGGTGTGGTCCAACTATAGAATGGTCACCATAGAGTGTTCCTTCTTACAAAATGGGTCATCCATAGGATGGAATCTAAAGATAGATTTAAGCATAGGTCCAACCGAAATTGGGCTAGGCACTAGGTCTATTTAGTATGTATTTCGTTATTGGGCTGGCAAAGTCAGTAGATTTTTTACCATACAGTTTGCCCACATCTATAGTTAAAGGGTTTTATTTTAGAAAGTAATTGAGTCGAATGAATAGAGTCAACTAAATAGGGCGATGCTAGCAACTCAATAGGTCAGATGGACTTTGTTGAAATGTTGTGCCTACTGTGTACAACCATCGATATCTATATCAAAGGAAGAGAAGGAATGTCAAAATTCTTTGTTCGTTCTTGCCTCGATCGGGCGGTAAGACAAGTACTCGAGTCGATTGAGATTGTATGCCCAACTTGGAATGAACTTAATGCAAGCTAAGTCATTTCGCGGGAGAAACATAGAACTTGGTTTGTTAGCTCTAATGTTACTCCAAATGTTGGAAGTCCTCAGCCAATCGTAGTGGGCAAAGTGTGGAAGCCTACTCGCCAATCGAGTTGGCAGAGTATGGAAGTCGTCGACCAACCAGATTGGGAAGAATGTGAAAGTTAGCTCACAACCGAAGTTGGGAGGAGTGTGAAAGTTAGCTCAACCAAGCGGAGTTGGGAGGAGTATGAAAGAAGTAGCTTCAAAGGTAAGTGTCACCTGGGAGATGACTCGACTCGTCTAGCAATGCCCGTGGCCAACCGAATCAGTGAAGTTAGAGTTGAAAAATTTGACAAAGTTTGCAAAGTCAACATCAGTGGGTCATTTGTCTCCACTTGGCTCGCCATGTCGAGTCGATGTTGCATTCATGATTTTTTATATTGAAATGGATCATGCCTTGGGGATGAATCACGTGTATCAATTGGTTACAGACCACTTTCTGGGGAAGTGTATAATTGGTGCCTTGATAATTGGTTAGATGTTCGTGCTTCCACTCATCCTGGGATGACTGGTGCGTAAAGCCAAGAGATACTGGTATAGAAAATTCAAGATCCATAGGGTGAAATAGCATGGGCCCAAGGGCTCCGCTGGTCACCGAATGGAAGGTGTTTTAGTGGGAATGTGGGACTGCCTATGGAATCCATTCGTGGAAACAAATGGCACGCGTTGAATGGCTGTAAAGAGTGTGGAGTTGAGGTGACTTTGATTAACTTTTGCCTGCCAGGCAAGCCAAGCCGATCCACCGTGACCATGCACTGGACCGAGCCAAATTGATTGGTCAAGGTATGTTTTAGGCCCTAAAACTTGGTTTGTTAGGTGCCTTTCTCGTTCATGCTCACTAAGCCGAGAGATGAAGTATGAGTGGTACTTCAATCCATTGGTGTTATCACTGGGGCCAAGCGAATGAGAACAAATTGGTTTGCACTTGAGATAAGATAAATCTCTATAATAACACTCAAATCTACTGCATATCTGTGCGAGTGAAAGAATTGGCCAGTGGGAGTCTTCCATGATTGGGAGTGTTTCTCTATCATGGAATTTGAGTTTGTAGAGCATCATGAGGTCCTCTGTCTGCTGGCCGAGTGAGCCAATGGACCGATGTGATGCTTGTGAAGTCCTTTTGCCTGCTAGTTTGTAAGGCCAAAAGGCCATCTCAGGATATGTATCCCTTTATGTGAGGTGACAGTCGAGTCAACTAAAATTGATTAAGTCTAAGTGTTGACTGGGCTGAGTCGAATGAATCTGATTCATCTAAGTGTGTACAAATGTCAAATGAGAGGCCCTAGAGATCCACTGGCTCGTCCTATCAGCTTGAAGACACTATAGTGAAGTTGTATTTAGGCTAAGCTATGGAGCAGCGAGCTAAGCCGAGTAACATTCAACGTTTGAATATTGTATTCCATCCATCATTGTTCCCACTCGGATGGCCAAGTGGAAAAGGAGAAGGGTATTTCAACATTTCTATGATTTATTGCATAGATGCCAAGTCGGGCCAAGAGATGTAATTGGAGCTAAGTTAGAAGGCGAGCGAAAGTGGTTCCACCAACAATGTATGATGTCAATGAGACGCACAAACCGAATAACCTAAATGGGCATATCAACTTAAAACAGCCATAACTTTGATTCGAGAGGAGTTACAAGACCCGTAAGATAACAACGAAAAACTCATTTCGTTAATATTCTTGGAGTCAAACACTATTGAAGTCAAACCTAACAAATTCTATTTCTATCTAAAGAGCATTGAATATGGTTAGTTAATATTCTTATAAAGGAAATTCCCTTGTTATTAGAGAATAATATTAATTTAAAGCTAACCCAATTTGGATTATGATACTGGAACTTGAATTTTTTACTTAATTTTTTGACACCCTTCGTAAACCGTTAAGTTATGATAACTTGCTATATATCTTAAACAATTTAATCGAAAATTTAATTAACTCATGATTATATGTAGAAAAATCATAATTAAAAATAAATTTTTATATAGAAAATGTTTTTTAACATATTGCAATTATTAACCAAATAAATTAAAAAAAATGAGATAAGTTAAAAAATAAGTACGAAATTAAATAGTTGTAGCACAAGGAGGGCGTTTGAATCATATAATATTTTATTATAGGGTAATATTATATTAATGGAATAAAAGATCACTTTGAAGATTACTGGGAATGTTTAGAAAATGTGTTTGGTTGGTTCGAATAAATTGGTGAATAATATGTTTGGTTGAGAGGATAAATGGGTGGGTATGTTATATAGATTACTAAATTGCCCTCCTCTTTAAATATTAATATAACTATATTTTTTATTATTTTTTTTTGAATAATTTTTTTAACTCCCTACTTTTCAGATTTAGCAAAAACACCTTAGCAACCAAAAACGTTTTAAACTTAACAAAAACACCCCTACCCACCTCAAGCCACTGCCGGTAGCCAGCCACCACTATTGGCGGATGTTGGCAATGCCATAAATCTGGTCGTGATGCTGGCAATGCCACAGATCTGGCTGTTTCACTGCCAGATCATTTGCCATTTCACGGCCACATCCTTGGCCATGAAATGGCCATAGATCTAGTCGTGAAACAACCAAATCTAGCATGGTCGAAAAAGCCTCACCGGTGCATGGCCAGCCATATACGGCCAATCATATGCCATTATGGCGACTTTTGGTAGCCTTCGACAGCAGTCGACGGTGGCTACCGGTGGTGCCTAGTTCTAGGTATAATGGCATTTCTGTAAATAATGACAATAACAAGGGCAATGTCATCCGAAAAATTTAAAAAGCAAGGACAAAAGTGTCTGCATGAGTGATTGGGTGTTTTGTAAATATTAACAAATATAAGGTTAATTTGGACAAAATGGTCAACTGTTTAGGGGCAATATGGAAAAAAAATTATAATACCAGGGTAAGTTTTAATAAAAACGCGCCCCCCGGTATTAAGATTACCATAAATATACCCCCTAAATGCTACTGTTTGTAATAAAATAATCCAGGAATAATTTTTTACAAATTAACCAAACATCGTCATTTGCTCAATTTAAAAA